CGGGAATCTAAACTAGGACCTCAGATATGGCGACACATTAGTTAAAACTTATTGTATCCGATTTCATATGTTAAAAAAAATTAAGTTTAATGGAAACTAACTTTATTAAATAATAAATCAATAAAATAAAATAACATAACATTAAAATTATGTTACTTTTGTAACTTTAAATATATATTTTTATTTGTGTCAATACTATACAAACTGGCTGCTTTGGAAACAATAGTCTATAATACAGTTAAAAAATCAGAAACAAGTTAAATAATTTTAATAATTAGTTAATAGTTATAATTTTATTAATAGTTATTTGACATATAAGATTACATAAACTAACTTCATAGAATATAAATGACGAACTACAGTTGCTACTTTGCTACTTTGTTGTTGTACTCATATGTAGGTATTGGTTTTGTCTGGTGATAGTATGTTATGTATATATTATCCTTATCGCGCAGCAGTGACGTATAAAAACTTATCTTCGTTAGAAAAACGAAATAAATATCTAAACTTAAGATGTTTGTGTAACCCTGTTTATATCAGAATACTTCCATAGCTTATCGAATCACCTCAAAAGTAGGATAAAAACAAAAAAACATCCGTTCTCACCATATCAGCAATACATGGCCACGATGAAAACAAAATCGGGTTAAAAAACACTTTTGTTGTGTGCCAGTCCCCCTTAAATTTAAAAATTTATTAAATATTTTATAGCAATATATCATCAATATGTGATATTTTCAACTAAGTATTTATCACGGTTCATGACAGCCTAGTGACAGCCAAACGGACAGCCAGCGGAGTTTTAGTCATGGTCTCGTTGGTTATGGAACCCTAAAAATAGCATTCAAAATGTGAACGTACCATCCAACACAATATTTAATTTGTAATAATTAAATTATTTGCCAAAAATTATACGAGTAATGTACATTATTAACATTCATTTTGTTCTAGTTTATATATTTTTCTCCGAACACGGACGCCCGAAACATGTATTATTCTTTAAATGTCACTACTGTGTTTTACAAGAACAAAATTGTGACATCACCACGAATGTTTTTTTCTACTATAATTTTGGCAAGTTGCCCATCGAGTAATATCTTTTAGATTTTTAGTAGTGTGATTTATTAGAACTCTTTACTTTTTCTCTGTCGGCAATGGTTATAAAATTTGAAAATAGAAAACAATACTTTTTTTTTTTGGTTAATTTGTCCCCCTTGTTTGGGACGGGCAACAATACATTTTTTTAGTCTATTAGTTATTTGTAAATAGAATTCTAAGCATCATACAGCCAAACGTTACCACATACATTACCGTTAACCATTGACAATAGTTGAAAGAGGTCGGTACCAAGCCTATTGGGTAATCACCGATGAAAAAAACCATTCCCCGGGAAACAGCTGATGAATTGAATGACGCAGCGTTGAGCGAATTCGTTGGAAAAAAAAACTCGACAACTGTACGACTATTTTCAGACGCCCCTCGAAAATTTAACAGGAATGAGGAAACTCATCGTACCTATTCCCGACGGTAGCTAAAGATGTTTCTACTTTAGTAGGAAGTGGAATGATTTCTAGTTAACAAATCGTTTACTGAGTTTCATATTTATTTAAAGTTTTTTTTTAATTAAATTTGATGTTTACGTCATATGAATCCTATCGGAATTATAATGCGTTTGACATTCGATATTACGATTAGGTATCGGTAAACTTTTGTGTAAATAAATAAATATTACAAGGCATCACATATATAGTTCTGATTCAAAGATGAATAATTAAAGCCCTTGTGTAATGGAGTAGGTATCTGAAAAATTTTCTACATTGACCAGACTTAGAGATGGCGATACCTGGAGGTCTAAATGAAATTTTAAATTATTTATAACGTTCTAATAAATGCCGTTAGATTTAAAATATGTAATTAATTACTATATATAATTTATTCAATAAATTATATTAACCTTATAAAAAACATAACGGACTTTGAGAGCATTATCATTTGAGTCTATATCAATGGATTTATAAGCGCTGATATTGCCCGCCACCAGTAGGAACAGATGTTATTTTCAAATTTCCCAATGCTGGGGATTATTCATTTATCAAAAGCACTTCACTGGCTACAGGCCTTTCCCGATATGTATTGGGTTTTATTCATAACAATTATATACCTACAGGAAAACGATATCTAATGTTTTCAGTATGCGTTAATAGGTTTTAGTGAGTTTTGTTGTAGATATATTTTATCACGGAGCTAAAGTCAATTATATTATACATTATATTATATATTATTATGACTATGCTTTGACATTTTAAATTTTTTAGGTAATTTAAATTATTTGACATTTACAAAAAAAACGTTTTTTTCATATAAAATCAGACAATTTCTTGTATTTTGACTGTAATATTTGCATATCGTCTTGACGATAAAATATGAAAAAAAAATGGTTGTAAAAATGTCCTGTAACCAGGTTTTTGCAAATAGAGATTAGTATTATTAATATTTTATTTAAATATAACTTTACTTTTTATATGATAATTAATTTCTGTTGCAATTCTTTTAAATATACCACGTCGAATACAGCATTAGAGGTTCAATCGAATAAAACCTTTATTACCAGTTGAATTAAATAGATTTTTAAAAGAATAGGAATCATTGTCACCCCATTTTACCCTTACCATAAAAGAAAATGTAATATTCTTAAATCTGAGAAGCAAAAGAAAAAAAGATTGCTATAATTTTAATACATAATCATTATTATCTTGTAAATGGCCATAGCTTTATTTTTTTTATTAAAGCCCAAATATGTTGCAGTAGATCAATTACGTATCATAAATATATAAGTCTCAATAAATCTCGCGTCTATAACCTTTGACCTTTAATACCGTACAACTATTAAAGGTCAAAGGTTACAAAAAACGTTTTATAACAACTTAAAAAAACATATAATTCAATTTGCGACTTAATTATTAATTTTCAAATTATTAACTCTCGTTCCAAAGTGAACTATTTTTAGTGTTTATAGATTGAAACGAGTCATAATTAATAAAGGAACTCGATGGCGCAGTGTATAGCGCGCTCGTCTGCAATACGGTTGTTATGCAACTTTCGCAAGGACCGGTCATAGGATGGGACGTTAACATTTATTTTCTCGAGCTCCTCCGTTCTTCGGCAGGCACGTTAATCCGTTAAAACTAGGCTCACGTGATGGATTATAGCTTTTGATTTGACATACTTCTCGACGGACTTCTCCATAGAAGGCCTGGTCTGCATCAGCGGGGACATTGAAAAATTGGTGATAAAAATAGAAATACTAAAAGAGGTTTATTTAATTATGTGTTTAGTGTTTGTTTTCCATAAAATTAACAAGTTCTAGTTAGGTACAAATAGTTGGGCCGTTGATACACTATAGTATGCACCGTTAAAAGTTTACAGTTATTAGAGTAAATGTGTTAACTAGCCGGACAAATTGCCGATGGTCACGACACGTTTAATCTACGCGTAGTAGTGGACGATGTCTTTTAGTATAGAAATTGGACGTACCGACGTAGGCTAGGGTTGCCAAAACTCCTCCTCCATCCTTAAGGGAGGCCTGAGCTCCTACAGTGGGGATGTAAAAGGGCTGATGATTATATTAAAATCTAGTGCGCTTTAAATTTTTACACTACCTAGGAAGCTATCAAATACCGAGTATTATCCAAGACAAATACGTTAATAGAATATACAGACTATGGAAAGAAATTATATTTTATTCACTTAACCTTATTGAAAGCTCTTTTGAACCATTCGATTCTCATTCTTTTCTTTCTCCTTTTTCTCATTCTTTAAAACGCATTCATAAACAAATAATTTGTTTATTAAATTTCGGTGTTGAAAATATACTATTTATATATATTTCTGCAATGTGTAGTACGCAGGCCCAAAATATAGTACAATACTTTATGTTACAGTACGGTTGGCAACCCTGCGCTATGGCGCCTTAGTTATTAAATACGGTGAACTGAATTTTGCCTAAAATTTTTTTTAATGAATTATGTCTATGTAGTGTAAATTTTAATCTCATTAAAAAAACAAAACAGCAATCAGCGGCTAATTACTGAGATAATTTCGCGTAAAATGAGACAAACATGAATGGAATCAAGCTGTTGTTTAAACCGTTGCAGGTCAATTTTGCTAACGAAAACATAATAAATAATATAATAATAATAAATTAATCTAGTAACAAGAACTGGGCCATAAAAGGTTGCACTCGAAGCGCTACTGACTTTCCACAATTATGTAACGTCAATAGAATTGCCTAGAAGACAGCAGCACAATTCTGCTAATGTTTATTACTCTATAGAATTTCAAAGATTTGCATTTTACCATGGTATTAGCTGCCTTAAGTCCAATATTATTAGTCCAATGTCTTCCTCGCATATCGGTAGTTGTATAATAATATTGGAATTCTTTTAAGTAATAAACATTAGCAGAATTGCCCTGCTGTCTTGTAGGTCAATTCTGCTAATATTAACGTAATCAAGGAAAACCAATAGGGCCTCAAATTCAACCCTTAATGACACACATCTGTCACAATTGATTTGTGAAAAAGTCATTGCACTAATAATATTGTAGTTGTAAAATGCTCTTAGTAGAGTTGTTATCGAGACGCGCGTCTTATTACGTCATAATTAGCGTAATTGAGTCCCTGTTAGTATTTAGACGACGACGATACATACTTTGTGTATATTTGTTTTGACTATCATTTTTGGAAAGTTCAGTCAGCAAACATTATAACATATAAAAAAAAATCTATGAATCCTTTTTTTTATGTAGGACACTATCGGACCATTTATGGCATAAGTATTAGAAATTACAGAAATCGCCAAAAACTATCACATAGATTTTCCCATGCAAATCGACAAGAGATATTCTTTGTTGATAACGAATCTATTTCCCGGACACTATCTATCTAATTATGTTCACATAAAAATATAAAATAGTCTTTGAGTTCAATGTGTTTAAATAAACAGACAGTTTGTTAAGTTTTTACCTATAATAACAAGGTTGCTAACCTTTTCTGCGTATTTTTTTTAATCAAATAATGTTACGTCAAACAACAAAACGATAACAACTTTAATTAAAACAGTAAACTTGGTAGTCTACTTATCTACTATATTATCTGAATAGATAAAAGGTTTTGTACCTTTTATCTGTTCAAATAATATATGGAATACTATAGAATTGAAATTGTACTTTTGAATTTACGCCCAAAAATTTGCAAGTAAGTTTTATCTCTCAAAACAAATTGTAATAGATACCATTTATAAAAAAAGAAATCGGCGACAACTGAAACGTTGCAGTATTTAATTTCTAATTCATGATATATCTCCTTAATATTATAATTCGTACAATTAGCCACAGAAGTGATAAGTTTATTAGTAACAGGATATCGTGTCAATGCTATTCAAATGATAACTACGGAAGTTTCAACATTCCGTCGATCAGATCCGGAAAACGTGAATAATTATACTGTATTTGTACCGGGGAATAACATAATACCTGTATAATCACGTACACGTTGATGAGCTTAATTTATTGGACATTGTAGGACGACAGCAAAGAAATACTGTTGTAATGAAACGAGAAAATAATAAAGATAATAGGTACTTTTTATTCATTCTCATTATTGTATATCACTTTTTTATATGTATCAATCCACTGCGCATTCTCTAGCACTTTGGACGAAAGAAACACGTCAGTCTATCTCGCTCCCGCACGAGGCACAAATGTAGAGCACTTCACAAAACAATTAAAGCCTTGAACTTCTTAACTAAAATTTATCAACGCATGACGAATGTGAAAAGGGACTCGATGACGTCATCCAAATTCTTGCTGAAAGGCGATAACTGTGCTTCGTAGGTCGTCGCCTTCGATCGTCCGGCGACTGTCAGGTGGCAGCACGGACCGACCATTTGAACTTTATCGCCATGCCATCTCTTCACAATGGTCACGATCCCGTTCATTCCGACGAGGTTAACGGCACCGTAGTTGTCTCTCACTTCTATGCTGCAGTCATTCCCTATGACTTCGATGTCACCTTGATTACAGTTAACTCGGACGATACAATTATTGCCAACGACCTTTAAATGAGTCGCGTTTGTCTCCATGGTAACCTTCTTCTTGTTTCCGACGACCGAATAATTCTTCATGCTGATTGATATTAGTTGTGTGATAATAATAAAAATTCAAAACAATTTCGTTAGCGATAGTACTGCTAGTTTCAAGTTTTGAATTTGGAACACTTTTGAAATTGAGGACGGTTGGGAATATTCAAATGAAACGACTTATCCGTTGAGGTGTTTGGGATTGAATGAGTCGACGGCCGAGCCGTATCTTTTTATATGCGCCTGGGCACGTGTAGTAGCGAGAGGCGCGCGGAGCGGAGGGAGTTCCCTCAGCGGTGCGTCACTCATTGATGGGCTCGTACTTAAAACATCCATATTGAACGCTTGTATGCCATATTAGTGTATACAAAAATGTCCCTTTTTCTACGTATCATTGACAATTGAATTGAATAATACTTTCCAGGGATTTTTCACGCAAAAACTAGTTAAAGAATATTGATGAAATTTGGTATACGGATAATCCTAAGCGTGGATTAACATATAGCAACTTATAACCATATACGAGGGTCAAACTGAAAGTTCTTAGAAAATCAAAAACTGATTACATTAGCCAGTTATTAGTTTTATTATATCTTTTCAAAATATTGTCCATTCACGTCAATACACCGCTGCATGCGATGGAACCACTGGGAAAAGCACTTTGCCCACTCGTCCTTAGGGGTCTCTTCAATGGCATCGCGATACGCAGCCACCGCTTCTTCAGCATTCATAAACCGCTTTCCTTTAAGTTTTTCTTTAATTTTTGGAAATAAATAAAAATCACAAGGCGCGAGGTCGGGGCTATACGGCGGGTGACCCAGTAATTCAACGTTTGATGTCGCCAAATAGTCGATCGTTCGCTTGGCGGTGTGCGACGAGGCGTTGTCGTGGTGAAGGAGGATCCTACTGCGAGGTCGTTTCTCTCGAACTTTTTCCAAGACAAGTGGCAAACAATTGGTAGTGTACCATTCTGCAGAAACTGTTTTTTGATCCTCTAACACAATTGTTGCAAAATGACCTATCCTTCCAAAGAACGAGGCCACCATTTTTTTTCCCGCACTTCGATCTCTCTTCACTTTAGTTGGCAACTCCTCGAAAGGAAACACCCACTGAGCAGATTGTCTTTTGGTTTTAGGATCATAACAGTAAATCCAGCTTTCGTCACCTGTTAGTATGTCGAACACAGCATTTGAGTCACCTCCGTTAAATCTTTCAATCATTTTACGACACCAATCCACACGATGGAGTTTTTGAGCCTCAGTCAAATTATGAGGTATCCACCGGGCGCAAAGCTTCCTGACCGCTAAATGTTCGTGGAGGATTTTGTGCACTTGACTCATACCGATGCCTAAGCTTGTCCGAATCTGTTGATAGGTCACTCTTTTGTCAGTCTCTATCATACGCCGCACAACACAGATGTTATCTTCAGTCGTCGCCGTAGAAGGCCGTCCCTCACGTAAATCATCAGTGAGATTAGTGCGACCACGTTTAAACTCATTAAACCAGTTGTAAACAGTCGCATGAGATGGGGCTTCATCGTGAAAGGCCAATCGTAGTCTATCATAACTTTCTTGTTGACTTAAATGACATCGAAAGTCATAAAAAATCATTGCACGAAAATTTTCTCGTGTTAAATTCATGATGACGTGACACAGACAATTTTCAATTTGCCGCCAAATCGTAAAACAAATGACAAATGAATGAAATATATACTCAGTAATATTGGCAAAGAGTTATATTTTCAAATTTTAGAATTATTTTTTTATTATATTGTTTATAAGTGGCCAGTTCTAAGAACTTTCAGTTTGACCCTCGTATTTATCCCACTAAACAGTTTCCTAGGGAGTACGCGGGGGAAGCCGCTGGCGGAAAGATAGTTTCTGATACAATTGAATTAACGTACTGGTTTCAATAATGCCTGTAATAATAAACGCAAAAAATTATAAAGAAGATTTATAAATAGATATAAAAGAGAATAATAAAAAAAAATCTTCGGGAAATTGGTAAATGATTGTTACATATCGGGTCACAGCTAATTTATATTTGATCGTTAATAAAAAGAGTTATATATAAAAGAGGTCGACTTTTTATGTGACCAAAATGTAACAGCTATAGATAAATAAAGATATTTGAAACTTTAATAAGGCGAGGAGAAACATTTTTCCAACTTTATAAAAAATGTTTTCTTTATTCTTTATATGTATAAAAATACTAAATTAAAATTGAAGTATTATTATTTGTAGAGTCAAAAGTTTTTTAATAATAAAACTATTGATCTGGCCTTATTTTTTTTATCAAGTACGTAGTTACTTAAATTGTTTACTATGACTAGTTCATAGGCCGCTATGCAATGCGCAATAGAATAACTTCGAGTCGACACGTGGCTTGTATTGTATTTCCCCTATAGAGGAGGTACAACACTTAGTAAGAAGGTAGATATCTATGTTAATTATGTAGTTTTTATTCTGTTTTTGTGGTATTAATTTTATTTATATTCAAGTTTTTTCTGTCTCTGATGTAAATGTCATTTTTTATTTCTTTATTGCTTGTAAAATTAATAGCACATAACTAATTCAAAAAATCATTTTGAATGTCAGATCGTTTGGATTTCTCTACGAGATCATTCATAACTAGTGGCAGCCAGCGACTTCGTCCGCGTTTTCCATTATTTATTCGCTCCTAGTAGTTGCAGCGTGATGTTAGATAGCCTAAAACCTTCCTCGATAAATGGTCTATTCAACACAAAAATATTTTTACAATTCGAACCGGTAGTTCCTGAGATTAGCGCGTTCAAACAAACAAACAAACGAACTCTTCAGCTTTATAATATTAGTTTACATAATAATTAATTATATAATCTGTACCTACTATTAAATTGAAGTGTTATATTCACATACTTATTAGTATCGATTGTATGATACTGTGTATTAGAAGCTAAAGCGGGTTTTATCATAAACTTTAAAAAAAATAAAGCTTATTCATGTCCGGTTCGTCCCACACTTATTTTTATATGAAACTTGGTAGACATATATAGCACTAATTGATATCCTAAACTAGTTTTTTTTTTATCAAAACAATTCATTATCAATCGATAATCACTGTCATTGACCGTTAAGTAATATTATGTAATTATATCACGACAACATAAAGTTCCCGTTATAGACTTAGTAGTATAGGCAAAGTTTTTACAAGATTTGTCAGCCTGGAGACCGACAGGTATTCGTGAGACACAGGTTACTTGATGACTCACCAAGGAATCTCTTCCCACAGGCATCACGATGAGTCATGCATTCCTCGAGTGGGTAAAAACGACATTCCATTTTTTTTAAGAACCAATATTAAGCTTCGTTTGTAATGAAATAGTTTAATTTTGTTTATTCTCGATTTACCAATACAAAATAACACTTTAATTACTCAGTTCCCGCGACTGACCTCCGCACCGGGTACCGAGTGGCAATACCCCTATTATTTCAACATACTGAATTATTATGCTTTAGAAAGCTCTTGCACGAGCTTTCCGTCTATTACTCTTTCACGCAAAACCATATTAGTAAATTTTTATACCATACCTTTCTCGTACATATAGAACCTTTTTATATCCCCACAAAGTTTAAAAAAAATACCAAAATACTCATACTTATGTACTTCACCTGTTCTCCAGTTATCATTCAGTGAGCCTGTTATTAAGCGATATAGAAAGATAAATAAATTTGAATAGACACGAATAGATATGATTTAAAAAGTAGATTAGATATACTCGTATTAAAAAAAAAAAACTTTTTTATTCAACATACTTTATCTAGTGCAAAAAGTGCTTATTTTATGAGTACCTACTGTAAATCTAAATAATTATTATTATTTAAAATAATTATGCTTGTTTTGTCGTAAATACTTCATGTAAAAAGTTAATCTCTAGCGCGATTTAAAAGTGATTAGATGAGTAATATGCATTTATCTGATTGTTTTTTTCTGCGGGAAACCACCTGAAAACAAAGATTATTGTGGTAAATGACCTTTGGAAGGCTTTATACTATGGACAACAAGCAAATAACGGATATTTTTGTTGGTACGTAAATAGTTAAAGTAAAGCAATATGTGTATTATTATTCTTAATATAAATTTACTTTTCTGAAGTTTGAAATTTTTCAAAGAAAACACAACTATATTTTTTTAAATATATATCGCACGATAGAAAGTCGCGTTCAGCGACTCTACATTACAATTTACACCCTAATATTGCAAAGAACCCAATTCAAAATTTAAAGAATCTATTTTTAGTCAACCTCTGTACCTAGGTTTTTTAAGTGTATCCTGTTATATACATAAAAATATAAACCAATGTACTTTAAAATGAAATTGATTCAGATATAACAATTTTCCAATCTCTTTACAAATAAATGAATTTGGAGTGTCACGTGTGCGCAGGTTTTGAATGGCTGTAGAAAGATGATAAGTTCGCTAAGTTTTAGAGACATTCTTATCTTGGGAGTGGGATCACATGATAGAAATCCATATAAGTTGCTAGCTGATCTTTGTTTTATTAGCAGAATCTGTAAAGCTAAAATATTTATTGTGGGTGTTAGACATAATTCTTATTTGAATACAGTAATGTTAAATGAGCAAATCAAACAATTGGCCGTTAGCTGTGGTAATTGTCATTTTTTAAAAGTAAATCGATATATAGTGCATAAATATTATATTAAGGAACTAATTCATCAAATTTATGTTGAACTTGAGTTTATTAAGTGCCGTTGTTTGTTTGATACCTCAATGAAAACAAAATATGACGGATGCTATAGGGGTAATAATAATAGTGTGATTGGTGCTGTTTTGGGTTCGACACTCGATAATGAATTAAATTTCGAAAATTCAATAATTCCCACGTGTGAAACTGAGACTGATAGTAACACGAAAACTCTTGAAAACTACCCTGAAAATTTTTTTCGAGTTGAACAAACAAATACATAGTCTGACTCTATTTCATCAAAATATTGCCAGTGCTTTAAGCAAAAGAGACTTACTTTTAATAAGCCTACAAGATCTATCTGCTGAAATTGGTTCTGTAGATATAATATGTCTCACGGAGACATTCATTAAGCGCGGCTCAGAAGCAAATCTACAGTTGGCAAATTATAGACTAGTGTCATCCTACTGTAGAGAAAATCAGCGTAGGGGTGAATCTGCTATTTTTGTAAAAAATAGCATTAACTGTTGTGAGCCATTAACCGACTTATTTAAGCCAATTCCCCTTCACTTTGAACTTTGCGCTGTAAGGTTAGTTTTATTTAATGTTATTCTTGTATGCATCTACAGGACCCCTGATTCCGATGTTAAAATATTTTTTGATTCTTTGTATAAAACACTATCCAAACTAAAAGTA